AGGCCCCAGGCCCAAATGCCTGGGTTTCATAGGTCAAGTTCAGCCAAATAAAAAGATGAATAACGGTGAAAGGCAGAGAAAGGAAGTTTATTAGGTGGTACGGGCAGACACATGAATAGGAAAGGCAGCATCTGAACAGACATTTGCTTTCAGCTTAGGTAGGAGGAAGAATTAGGGGCAAGCGGAGAGGTATACCTAATTATTTAATAGTCTCAGTCCTAGGGTTGCAGGAATTTCAAGCTGATATATGGGACACTGAGGCAGTTTAACAGAAGCAACATTTTATTGTGCTGGCACAGACTCAGCAGACTCGTGTCCAAAGGCTGAGCCCTGAGAACAAAAGGGGTTTCGCTTTATATACCCTTGCAAACAGGTTACAGAAGCAAAAAGCAAAGCTCAAACCCATATATGGTTGCATGAGACTTTATTGGCTATTCCATTCCCCCGGTGCTATGTGACCTTCTTCATGTTTCAATTCTTTCAGTTTTATCTCTGCTATGCCATCCCTTCCCCCTGCTATATTATCAGAACACAAATTTGTCTGTTTCTTTTCTGGTCCTCCTCCCTGCTACACTGCATGTGTTCTGGTGGGCCTAGATGGTCCTAGGTGGCAGCCACAGGTGGTCTGGAAGCTAATTGTCTCAGGATTAATTAGATGGGCTGTTATTACAATAAGAGTCTTCATTTGCTGGTAGAGTGGCTCAATGGTAGAACACCTGAGTTCAAGCCCCAGTACTGCCAAAATAAAAAAAAAGGTCATGACTGCCTGGCAGGTGGTATGTCTGGTCCTAACTATATTCCAAATGGCTGTCAAGTGACTGCAGGAGAGAATGGTCCAGAGCCCAGGACATATACAAAGTGGAGACAGGGATGCCGAGCTTTTCTCCTGCTTCCAGTTAATTTGTTTGAGTTAATTTGTGAGTCCAAGTAAGGAGTCAATACTTCTCAGCTTTTAAACACATCTAACAATTACTTTCCAGGGCTGCTTTAGGAGTTAGACTGGATAATCTGCAAACCACTTAAGGATAATAGGGAGGAAGGACAGACATGAGGCAACAGGAAATTCAAAATTAATTTAACTCATTTAAAAAGCTAGGTTCAGGAATTAAAACAAACCAGGAAGTAAAGACTGAAAATCACTGAGCTGGAGAACAGCAAGCATTCCTTCCACCACTTCTCTCTTCTTTCAGATGCTGAGTTACAATTCTGGAATGGATAGGAGGCACGGAATAAAAGGCTTGTCTGGCCAGTGGGTACCCTGAATCGTGCACTTTGCTCCCATGTTTTGAGTAATAAAGAGTGCACCCCGACACCTCTTCTCTGTGTTTTTGGGTAATAAGACCCATTTTAGACATGCTTTGTGTTGGGTAATAGATCCACCTTAAAACTATTTTCTCCATGCTTAGAAACTTAGCAAAGTATTAGGGGACTTTGTATCTAGGTGGGGATTCAGGATGGAGTTCCCCCAGCTCAGAAAGTATATCCATGATAAAAACTGCAATTCTTAGCCTTGTAAGCTCCCACACTCAGTATCTCACGGGGTCCTCCTCTTTCCCTTCTCTGTTTTCCCCTATATTATTTCCTGTTCTACTAAATAAATCCTTGGTAAACTTCCATCTTGTGAGATTTTCTTCTTTGTGAAACCCCTTTGTTAGGTAGCAGGAAGCCATGAGTGATGGGTGAAGCGGAACAGATAGGGAGACAGGAGAGAAACTATGTTAGTGGATATTAAAAGTACCTTGAAACTAGAAAGTGAAACTCAAAAAGCCAGAGCAGCTAGCCCCCTCTCACCACTTTTTTTTTTTTCTCTCACCACTTTTTAGATGTCAAGTTACAAAAACAGGGAGACTTACACAGCTGCAAGTTTCCTTGAATGCACAGAGGGAAAGGCTTGTCAGCCAAAGGAAAGTTTTAAAAACACACCAATCACCAAGTGTTTTGGGTAGGGTTGATGACATCTCCCTGTTTCAACACCTGTCTTAGCCACCCAGATCATTATTCATGATGGCAGGTTGCCAGACATGAGCAGGTGTATTACAACCAAGAAGTGTAAGACTAAGTGATGAGGACTGCCATTTTGAGTCTTTACTCTCATTTCCTGCTCCCCAAGCAGGAATTTCTCACTTTTATCCAGTTATACTAAGTTCCTTTCCTAATAAACCTTGCTATAATTTTCACCATTTTTGAGTCTTGCCTGAATTCTTCTCTCGATAGAAGGTATGTTTGTTTTTGATGGGACTGGAATTTGAACTCAGGGCTTCACACTTGCAAACCAGGCGCTCTACTGCTTAAGTCACACCTCCAGTCCATTTTGCTCTGGTTATTTTGGAGATGAGGTCTTTTTTTTTTTCTTTTATTCATATGTGCATACAATGTTTGGGTCATTTCTCCCCCTTCCCTCCCGCCCCTACCCCCTCGATACCAGGCAGAAACTATTTTGCCGTTATCTCTAATTTCGTTGAAGAAAGAGTATAAGCAATAATAGGAAGGAACAAGGGTTTTTGCTAGTTGAGATAAGGATAGCTATACAGGGCATTGACTCACATTGATTTCCTGTGCGTGCGTGTTACCTTCTAGGTTAATTCTTTTTGATCTAACCTTTTCTCTAGTTCCTGGTCCCCTTCTCCTATTGGCTTCTGTCACTTTAAAGTTTCTGCATTAGTTTCTCTGCATTGAGGGCAGCAAATGCTATCTAGTTTTTTGGGTGTCTTACCTATCCTCATATCTTTCTTGTGTGCTCTCGCTTTATCATGTGATCAAAGTCCAAAAAACACATGAAAAAATGCTCATCATCTCTAGCCATAAAGGAAATGCAAATTAAAACCACACTAAGATTCCACCTCACCCCTGTTAGAATAGCCATCATTAGCAACACCACTCACAACAGGTGTTGTCGAGGATGTGGGGAAAAAGGAACCCTTTTACACTGCTGGTGGGAATGCAAACTAGTACAAACACTCTGGAAAAAAATTTGGAGGCTTCTTAAAAATCTAAACATAGATCTACCATATGATCCAGCAATACCACTCTTGGGGATATACCCAAAAGACTGTGACACAGGTTACTGCAGAGGCACCTGTACACCCATGTTTATTGCAGCACTATTCATAATAGCCAAGTTATGGAGACAGCCAAGATGCCCAACTACTGATGAATGGATTAAGAAAATGTGGTATTTATACACAATGGAATTTTATGCAGCCCATGAAAAAGAATGAAATCTTATTCACAAATAAATGGATGGAACTGGAGAACATCATTCTGAGTGAGGTTAGCCTGGCCAAAAGACCAAAAATTGTATGCTTTCCCTCATATGCGGACATTAGATCAAGGGTAAACACAACAAGGGGAGTGGAAAGATGAGATCTTTTGAACTATTTGCTTGGGGTGGCCTTGAGCCTTGATCCTTCCAATCTCAGCTTCCCAAGTATCTAGGATTACAAGGTATGAACCATCGTTAAACTTTTTGGTAATGCCTTGGAATGCGTTCTGGTGTGGATTTCTTTCAAGCACCCATGACTTGCATGGAAGCTGGGAAGCTGAACCAAGGATTTCCTACCTTTCTCTCTTATGGGGACACTGGGTGATCCCTTTCGTCTATTTTGATCTAGTTCCTGTCTCAGGCAACACCAGGATTGCATTGTCTCCTTGAGTGCTGATTGAGCTTTGGTATGTCCACCCTGGTAGTTCAGGCTCTGCTGACATTCTTCAATTTTTTTGTGGTACTGGGTCTTGAATTCAGGGCCTCAGGGCTTTGAGCCTGATAGACAAGCTCTCCACCACTTGAGCCAAGCTTCCAGCCCTCTGCCCTAGTGAACTTTTATAGAGTCAAGCTTTCCTTTGATATCAATACCAGACAGTTCTGTTTTTAGCTCAATTCACAAAATATATATTGTGTTTGCATGTCTCTGGCTCTTTACTAAAGTGCTAGAAATCCAAAAATAATTAGGATAGCTGGGATATGGCTCCAGTGGTGGAGCAAGTGAAGACCCTGAGTTCAACTCCCAGTACTGCCAAGAAAAGAAAAGAAGAGTTAGGGTGAGAGGAATATAAAACAGAGTCACAGTACAATGAAGCAAGATTACCTAGATATGCCCAGGACGCTTCAAAAAGCTATGGGACACTGGTCACTGGTGACTGGTGCCTGTAATCTTAGCTACTTGGAGGCTGAGATTCAGAGGATCAAGGTTCAAGGCCAGCCTGGGCAAACAGTTATTGAGAGCTCATCTCCAAAATAACCACAGCAAAAGGGACTGGAAGTGTGGCTCAAGCGGTAGAGCGCCTGCTTTGTAAGCGTGAAGTCCTGAGTTCAACCCCCAGTCTCACCCCTTCCCCCACCCCAAAAAAGTACATATTTAATGTGTATCAGCATTGTGTTAAAAGGAATGGCTAACCCTGCTCTATTTCATGGTCAGTCTGGTCCCGGAATATTCATTTCAGCCTGGACATCATCGAGATGGGCTGCAGTGGCGTTCCTCTCTCCTCTCCCAGTCAATGGCACTAGGCCCTTTGGCTGCACCGCTTTGGGTTCAAGGTCTAGGTCAGAGTGGGAGCGACGGTCATTTCCAACACCTCGGGCTGTCTTCCAGACCTCTGGTTGGCAGCGGGCGCCGGAGGTAATCTGGTTTATTTCCAGCTCATTGACTGTCATTTTCTGGATTGGGTTGCTTTGCTTCCAGGATCCTCCTCCCTGCTCTCTCTCAGGGTCCTTTGTCCCAAAGTACTTTGCCCTTCCTTAAGCGGCTTGTCGCCGTGCCACTTTCTGCGGCAGGACAGTCCGGCCGAGGCCCGCGGCGTCCCCTGGAGCGGTGTCTGCCAGGGGAGCAGCTCAGGCGCGGAGCCGGCGAACGCAGAGCTGGGGCCTCCGGAGATGAGCCGGGAACGGCGTTTGCCGGGGCCCAGGCGGAAGCCGGAGCATTTGGCGGACCGGACCGCGGGAACCCGGAAACGCCAGGGCCGCACCGAGGTGGCGCCTGCGACGGCGGCGGGAGCTGGCGGCGCTGAGGCTCAGCGGTCGCGGCGGAGCCGGCGGGCTCGGCAGCCGGGGACGCTGGGCGTGGCTGCGCCGCGGTCCCCGGTGCGTGCAGCAGGCAGGGCCGTGCGGCAGGTGAGTCCTGAGCGCCGCGCGGGAGCGGCGGGCGCGCGAGGCCGGTGGGACCGGGCGGCTCCGGGAGGCCGAGGCGGCGGCCGGGCGTGCGGGGCAGTGCGAATGAGTGAAGGGGACGGTGTCCCGGACCTGAAGTACTTGTTAAGCAGAGGTGGGCACAGCGCGGTGACACGTGGTCACTCCGGGCGGCGACGTGTGGAATGGGGTGGGTGGAGGAGGAAGAGGGGTGTGTCGAGCGGGCGCCGCGGCACAGCGCCCCGCGGCTGCACCCCGCCAGGCTGGCGGCCGTTCCGCCCTCCGCCCAGGAGCCCTGCGGCCCCCGCTCCGCCCGCGAGCCCGGGGCCGGGACCGGGCCCGCTGTCCCCCGCGAGGACCTGGTGCTCAGCAAGCCCGTGGTAAGGCTGCTGGGAAGGCAGGTGTCCGCGTAAAGGTTCCCACCAGGATGCGGCGTGTGCGCGCGGCGGCTTCTGAGTGTTGGGAATGTAATTAACATTTTAAATTGCGGTGGGACTGGGGTTTGAACTCAGGTTTTCGAGCTTGCAAAGCGGGCGCTTTACCGCTGGAGTCGCACCTCCTGTCCCATTTTGTTCTGGTTATTTTGGAGATTGGGGGGGGGGGGTGTCTCATCCGGCCCCGGGCTGGCTTTGGATCTCTGTTCCTCCCGATCTCAGCCTCCGAGTAGCTAGGATTCCAGGCGTGAGTCACTGTCGCTGGGCTCCCATTTTTATTGAAGCCAGCCAAAACTTTAGGTTCAGGACAGGTTGGTTCACATGAATTGAAGGTAGTATGAAATGTAATAATGGACAGAAACATTGCTTGATAGTAGAAGCCTGACTTTTATTAGATTCGCTTCAGCACAAGATTTCAAGTGAAACCAGAGCTGTCTTTATCTACATTTCACTTGGGTAGTTAAAGATGCTTAAGGGTAGTTTCTCTCTTCGTGGTCGTATTCACTTTTGTTGTTTCCTTTAAGGGAAAGACAACTATATTTACATTTCTGTATTCCTTTTTTTGGGTGGGACTGGGGATTGAACTCAGGGCTTCACACTTGCAAAGCAGGTGCTCTACCGCTTGAGCCTCACCTCCAGTCCATTTTTCTCTGGTTATTTTTGGAGATGGAGTCTTTCCAACTACATTCCTGGACGGGCCTGGAACCTGGATCCTCCTGGATCTCAGCCTCCCAAGGAGCAAGGATTAAAAGCATCAGCCATGGGAGTGGGCATTTCTGAACACCCTGAATGCCTGCCTGCCTGCCTTGGTCTTCCTTCCTACTAAAGGTTTTCCTTATTGTCTTTGTATAAATTTTATTCTTGATTGCCTGACTTGCCAACTCTTACAAGCTTTCTGAACTCCACCAGGTGTCACTTTTCTTTCTTTTGTGTGCTGGGCATTATACATCTTGTAATACTTGCTAAATTTCCATTTTCCTATGACTATTTGAGGAATTTATTGTCCTTACTAGAATGTAAGCTCTCTACAGAAAGTAATTTTACCTTTTAAATTTTTTAGCACGTCAGTGCAGTATCACGATATATTAGTTTCTTAATAAATTTTGATTACATGAAATTATATAATGAAATTATCAAACTCTTACAGTGCTTTGTGGAGGCAGGTGTACCTCCTGTTGTGGTATAACCTTATTTCAGGTTTTATTGAAGTTTCCTTTCTTTTTCCTATTTTAGTATCTCATTTGATCCTTGTAATAAACCTATGAGGTAGGACAGTTCTTATGTTCCTTTTTTGTAGATAAGAATACTGAATAATTTGCCCTAGATTCCACATACACCGCTACACACCCTCACTTATATTTGAAATGGTTATAGTTTGTGTCCTCAAACATGTGCCTTTTACTTGGTAGGAACGCACTCTGTTGAATGAATGACTGGCTGAATGTAGAATCAGTGGAAATAATCTCGCTGAAGTCTAATCTTCTCGTTCAGTAGGTGGCAGTATGACTCGAGAGCTCTTTTCACTTTCTGAAATGCTTGAGAATTTCTATTTCATATTAATCAACTGTGGACTGACTTCTTTCTCTCTCTCTGTCTCTCTTTTCTTTTGTGAACTTGCCAGAAATGTAACAGTAAATTGTAGACCTGTCTGGGTAACTGAGATAAGTTGAACATTGAACTGGTACATTATTAAAGTATTATTCATGGAAATGAATTTATTATTAAAGTTCAGATCCATATGAATTGGTAGCTTAATGTTAAATTTCAATCTAAAAAACGAAGTGTGTGCATGCATATATATATATATTTTTTTTTTTTTTTTTTTCTTTTTTTGGGGGTTGTGGCACTGAACCCTTAGGGCCTAGATCATCGATGCTAGGTAATCACTCTCCCAGTCCTTGGGTTTTGTATTTTGTTTTTAAGATAGGCTCTCATTACTTTCCCTGTGCTGACCTCCTACCTTTGTCTATTTAGTAACTGGGATTAGAGACTTGTGCCCTGCCTTGTTACATATTTTAAATTATTGTTTTAAAATGTGTTTTGTTACTGCATTTGACATACAAACATGAATGACGTTAGAAGCTAAAATGTTAGTCAGCTTCTCTACCCAGATTGCCTGCCCAGGCATCTCAGAGAATCCATTTGAGATAAGCTGAGGTATATTTACAGATGAGCATTTTGGTTGAAAAGGTATCCTGGGTTAGATAGCATAGTAGACATTTGAGTTAAAATAAAGCTGAAACTGGGTCACATCAGATAGATGCTAAGAAACAAGCCCATTCCATAAGGAAAATGTCCATGTGTGAATGACTTTTTGCATACCTGTTTTTTCCCTCTGAAAGTTGGATAAGTTTTTTCTAAATGCATATGTGCTATAAAGACAATTTCAAACATGTTTCATCGTGATTAGCTCTTCTAAAGGTATTGAATGTGTACTCAAGTAAGGCATTGTACTGTAATAAACTCTTTACTTGATTTGTATTCTTTAATCTGTACAATTATCCTATGAGGTACTTACTATTATTTTCCTCCATTTTATAGGTGAAGGAGAGAGGGACACAGAGGTTAAGTAATTTGCTATAGTTTGGCTGGTGGAGACAGTGTGAACTCAGGCAGTCTGAGTCCAGTGTGCTGACTGACCCTTAAAACTTAGACATGCTGTAAACACAGGCTTTACTGCAAGAGCAGGGGGCTTAAGAAATCTTGGATCATATTTGATATGCTATGCAAGGTGAGCTGCAATGTGTCAGAACCTGTTTCTTAACCTACAAATTAAATTGCATTTAAGTATGTGTAAAACACCTAGCAAGCTACCTCATATACGGTGGGTGTTCAAGGCTCTCATTTATCTCACCTCTGTGAGGTCACAGTTATTAGAGAACCTTTAGTGGTTTGGCTGTATCTGTCATTTATGTGTTACACACAAAGACTTGTTTATGGCCATGCCACCCTGAAAAGCTTACCTCACAAAGGGATCTTTTTTGTGAGGACTTACATATTGTGGAGTTTGTTTATCCCTTCTTAAATCCAACACAGTAAATGCCTAAAATGTAGGTGCTACTAAGGAAGCAGAGGAAAATATATATGTCAGCAAATTAGTTTGATAAAGTTTGAGTGCTATGATAAAAGATATGCAAAATGGTATGGGCATACAGTAGGGGAGGACTCAGTCTGCTTGGAAAACTTAGGACATTCCACTGGGGTAGGAAACGGCACTGAGAGGAGACCTGTGTTTTGAGTCCTGGTACATATGCAGAAGTTCTACCAGGAAACGGGAAAGAGGACCCCCCCCCACCCCAGGTTGTTGGATATTAAACCCAGGGCTTTCCACTTTCCCCAGGAAGTGGGGGAGTGGGTTAGCGCTCCCCCACTGAGCTATACCTCTAGCCCCAGAAAGAGTTTTGTTTTGTTTTTTTTTAAAGACAAATATTTGTCCAAAAAATGCATGACGGAATATGTTTGAGATTGGTAATAGTTTATGGCAGGAAATTTAGGCTGGGACCAGATTATGAGTGGTTGTTCTGTGTGGAGGGTTTGGACGGAGTTCTCTGTTTGGTAAGGAGTTAGTTAAGTTTTACAACCACGGGAGGCGTGTGGTCAGAGCTACGTTTAATTAAGATACCTGTATGGACGAGAAGTGAGAATTGAGTATGAGGCCTTCCTCCATCACTTACTGGCAGTGATGTGGAACTTGAATGATAGACATTGAATAAGCATAACTAATGCCATTCATAGTCTATGTGGTTTAAGACCAGAAGACCATAGTATATGTCATCTTCTGAGACTAGGCTTAGCTGGGAGGGTTTGAAATTGCATGGTTTAAGAAAAAGAAAGAGGGGCTAGGGACACTATCTCAGGGGCAGAAAGTTTGCCCAGCATAAGCAACACCCAGATCTCCCCAGCACTGAAGGAAAAACAACAGGGAGGAGTCTAGCCTGCATTTGAATTCCAGCACCGGGATCTGGTCCTGAGTGGAAAACACAATCACCATCTAGGATTAAAAGAACTTTTAAAATTCTTGATAGTTTGTCAGACCATACATCAGAAAAACCAGCTCATGTTATATGTTCTATTCAGTTTCTGTTGAATTACTTTCATTGATTACGTTTTCCTAAAAATTTTTAATCAGTTTTGAATTCTAGGAAAGAAAATCATTTTGAGGCATCTTACCTTTCAGGATTGTCCTCAGGCAAAATTAGATAGGTAAATATGTTGGTGCTAGGTGTTTTACCCAGGGCCTTGCTTAGGTTAAACATGCGCTCCACCACTGCACTCAACCTCCCACACCGTTGTTCTTGATTACCCAGTAACACACTCGTTAGAACTTTGTTCATGTTCATGTTGTGCTTGGGGAGCAGCATTGTCTGGTAAGACAATTGCTGTGCTTGGCTTTCTACATGATAGCTATGTTTCATATGGCATGTCATGACACATGGTATATTTGAATCTGGGCAATAAATTATGTTTAAAGGAACCAACTTGAAATATTCTCGTATGTACAGAAAACTTTTTTTCCCCCAGTTTGGGAAGTTTTTGTAGCTTATAAACTTTATATTTGATTATGTGCTATTGATATTTCAGGTTATAAAAACAAAGATACTAATGAAAATAGAGACAACCTGTTCTTTTGCCTTTCGTGTCCTTTAAAATAGCAACGGGAGAGCTGAGGGCATGGCTCAAGTGGTAGAGTGCCTGCCTAGTAAGCATGAGGCCCTGAGTTCAAACGTCAGGACTACCAAAAAAGGTTGTCTAAAATAAGCAGTAATAGAAATATTTCATAACACTGGTGAAGTCCTTTCCTTCTCTATGTAAATGTTATTATCAATTTGTGAGCAAGGTGTTTTCAGTTTTTTTTTTTCTTCAGTGGACTGGAGTTTGAACTCTGGGCTTCCCACTTGCGAAGCAGACACTCAACTGCTTTTGACGCACACCTGCAGGCCATTTTGCTCCAGTTATTTTTGGAGATGGGGTCTTAAACCGCAGTCCTTCCAATCTCAGCCTTCCAAGTAGCTAGGATTACAGGCGTGAGCCACCATTGCCTGGCAAGAGGGAATTCTGCATGCAAGAATTACTCCATGACTTTTGAGTATAACCCAGTTTTCCTGACAACTAATTCTTTTAAGTACTGAAGCTTAATTTTATTATTTACTTCCTGGTGCTAAAAATTGAACCTAGGGCCTTATGCATTCTAAGCACCTCCACTGATCTAAATTTGCAGCTCCCTGAAACTTAATTGTAACCAGTCTCCAAAACATTAAATGCCTTCTGCTTAGGGAGACAGAATAGAGAGCTATGATTTTTCTTTTTTAACTACAGACTTAGATACTTGCGCTAATTTTCTGTGACTGCTGTAACAAATTGCAGCAGGTTTAAAAGTACAGCAGTTCTCTTACGGTCCTGTGGGCCAGAAATCCAACATCACAGTCTGCAGGACCTTGCGCCCTCCGGTGGTTCTGGGAAGCATCCATTCCTCAACTCTTCCTGCTGCGAGTGGTGCCAGCATTCTTTGAACCTTGCTAGCATTGGTATTAAGCCAGAGGTAAAGTTGGAGTTCTCTGTTCTTATCTCACAAGCTGAAGAATGAAAGCAGGAGAGCTGTTGAGATGGAAAAGTGTAAAGTGGGAGAATAGAGCCCCTAGTGTTGGGGGAGGGGGGCAAGAGAGAGTGAAGAAAGGCAGAAACTCCCAGGGAATGGGAGTCCCAGAAAGACTGAGCCATGGCAGCTTCGTGTAAAAGTTTTTATGCAGTTTTTTGGCACACTTTTGGGGAAGACCTTGTAAGCCCCTGGATACAGCTTTCTGATGGGTGAGCCCTGATTTTCTTTTAGG